GATGGGGCAGCTAATATGGACACAGTTAAAATGCTGAAATTGCTGTAATATAGTGAGCTCTCAGACTTATCCACTCACTCCTTATGAAAGTAAATGCAATAGGCTCTACTCACGCTTATGTTACCAACTAGGAAGACGTTTGGAAACATGCGATTACAACTTCCGGTGTAGTTACCGACAATGTGCTCGCCGACCGACTGTGATAAAACCCTTTGAAGTAAATGTGGTCAGCAGGTAAAATGAAGACTGCATATGTATGTGCTGCTTGGAATTATCTTGAATTCCCAGTTCCCAGTGCGCTCGGAGTGTGTCAGTGAGGAAATTGTGAAAACTGAGGTGTGGTTGTAATTGTTGATTAGCCGAACATAACAGAACACTACAATGACATGTAGCTGAAGAAAACTGGGCCATTTTCTCATTTTTCCTAGATTTCGTCAGTCTTACTAGAGCGAACAGAGCCCGCCGGAAGTTGTCATCGCATGTTTCCAAACGTCTTCCTGGTTTGTGACATAAGCGTGAATAAAGCCCATAGGTCAATAAGGAAATCTGGGAGTAAAACATCATCACATTCTACAATCTGAAAACCACCATCGGTTTTGGCATCAGCCATGAAATAAACTGATAAAAATACTGGTCCATCTCTCTTAACCATCTGAGCACATTTAGGGCCTTGGGCAAGAGTATATTTGACTTGAACACACAAATTTGCAACGCTACTTTTCCTAGTGAAAGTTAAGTAGAATGATTAACCAAAAAGCTCTTAAAACTTACGCTGACTCCCGCTAGAAATAAAGTACGTGTCACTTTATTTTCTCTGCTCTCCTTGCACGGCACAAGAGAAACACGCTCTAGGCTGCGAACTCACCTGCAGAAATCAATTTGTGGGTCTGAGGTAAACCATGAGACATATTGAACTTCTATACTGAATAATTTCTTCAGGTAATGTGAAGGCAACATTGCGAGGAACGGCTCCATTTTTCAACCGTAAGTGAAAAATTAAGCCCTGAGTATATATTATTTACAAAAAGAACTCCATTGATTCAGCTCTTTGTACAAAACAGAACACACTAAAACATTTTACTTCGTGGTGAGCTTTGGGGGGGGGCAGTGAACGCTTGGTACATGCATGATTTGCCTTATCAGAGTCCACAGGGCATTTCTTGGCATCAGTATATCTCTCAGTGAAAAGGTCACCGCCTGCATCCGTAACACAGATGCAACATGCGACCCGTGGAAGATAAGTCGGAACTACGAGGAAGGTTGACTTGATTCTCACAGCGCTGTGGAAATTGTGCGTGTGCAGTTCCAGATGTTTGTGTACAGTAAATAGATGATTACTATATGTTGTGAAAAGGCAGTAGATAGTGAAGGGGGAATAAATGCGGAGATTGCATGCAACAAAGGTCACCGTTTGGCACATAGGCTAGAGCGGAAGTAGAAGTACTGCTAGGGCTGTCACAGTAACAAATTTTGAAGAGCGATACATTGCTGAAGTAAATATAGATGACAAATAATAATACTGAAACCATAAAGAGTTATCCCTCAAAAAATAATTCTAAATGTACAATATTGTTAGATATAAATAAACTGATAGCAGAATGCAACTTTAGTGCTTTGTTAGTATCTATAATGAGTCATAGAAACTCATAATTCAACTCAAATCTCACTGTAGTACAGAAAATAAAGTATTTATTTTTCCCCACTAGTGCCAGTAAAAAGTACCATGACAAATATTGACACCCCAGAATTACTCTTCCATCTGTCATGTATTGAACGATAAGTTGATATAGTATTTAGGGTGTGTGTGCAACTGGTACATGAACATTTATACTAGAGTTCCAAGATTCATTGAAATCAAATGGAAATTACAATTTGAAAGTACTAAGCCATGAAATCACAAAAGCTGTCACTTTAAAAGTACCAAATTTCTCTACAAACAACAACATTTTTATTCTGCAGAAAGTCTTTGACAAAGTAACATGAGAATCACATTTCAGAACATGTTTGCAAACAGTGAATATTTTAGTCTCTATGTCAGTTCTTCTGGACACTTTTAAAATGTGAAATTTGAACAGAATTATTAAAACTTTTATTAAAACATAAATCACAAATCTAATTGCTATGGTGACAAGAAAAATCTCATTTAGATATTTCCCCAAACAGTTCAACAATCTATACTATGACACTCTATAACAAATGTCAAGAAAACATTTTTTATTATTCCAAATACTAGTGCAAAGCTGCAGGAGATGAATAAAATGTCAAATTCACTTTAAGCCCTTGTCAAAACTGCCCTATGCCAAAAATATCACAACAAAAGAGTCAGCTTCTCTCTTCAAGTAAATCTTAAAACCCAAACCAAAGAACAATATGGAGCTTCAGCTATAGGTAATTCTTTGAGTACACACAGACTTACAAATGTCTAAAATTAACTGATTACTATTAAGAATGCTTATTTAATTAATTCATTATTAACGTACCAAACCATCCACTTGGTACAGGTCCCTTTAGCTGCTAATTAGCTGTTAAAGAAGTGTAACAGATTGTTGTAGTTGTTTGAAAAAAGAAAAACAATATGTATTTTTATTGTGGCCCCTAACTATAAATCTGTGTTCTTAGTGAGTGATTTATTATTAACTGCTTCCATTAATATTAAATATTATTGGCTTATAGAAAATACTACTACTGGCTTATACACTACTACTGTGCTGCTCCATACAGACGATCCCAAACAAAGTTGCCCAGATTTTGTGTCTGAGTGGGGCAAGGTATGTTTGCAGTTTGTCTCTGGCTGAATGCTGGCAGCAGCAGTGGTGAGTTCAGTAGCAGACATGAATAAACCCATGTGCGGGTGGATGGCGATCACTGGTAGAAGACTAGAGGGTTAGAGTTAGAGTAAGTAGATAAAATCTTGGGTTTTTAGGCTTTTATTCTGAGGCATAATCAGAAATTGGTTTATTGATAAAAAACATCTTCCACATCATCGAATATCTGCGAGATAGCTTACAACAAAAGGGGAAGCAATGGTTACATCTGATAGTGATAGCAAGTTCGTTATTTTGTTTTGTTTACTAGTGCAGGACAAAGTAACAAACAAAGTAAATTTCCAAATGTTTCATGTTTTAGTTACTAACTTTTTGGTCTTTGCCACGTGACAAGAACTCTCAGTACGTTGAAGGCTGGCTATACAATTTAGATGCAATATTCCTTTTAGAAAAGAATAGGAAGAATATGATTGTTTATCCAGCCATAACGCCACTCCAGAAATGATAAATGAAAAATAATGCCAAAAATGTCCCCAGTTAACAACACAATTTACAGCGGATAAGATTCTGCCTATAGATTATTACTAAAGCTATTTCAGAGACCCTCAGCTCAACAAGGGCCTAATTAAAGCAACACCATCAGCACGTGTAGACTCTCCCTAGTGATGCTCAGGTAGAAACAATCTCAGGAGCTCATTACAAGGCACTATAAGCCTTTCTTTTGAGGGAACAACCATGCTCTTCTATAAAGGTAGCATGGGCACATGTTTCAGATCATAGAGGCACATTACTATGTCTATTTGAAAAAGTTAGCCCTATAAGTAAGTCATGACAGTATCTTCTGTGAGGGACCCAGGACCAATTTTGGGCAGAGACAAATTTAAATCTGACATTTAGATGCTTGGAGGTTTGGAGCCTCACTGGTTTCAACTAAGGACAAATATTTTGTATGAGGCCAGTCTCTGGGTAAAACCTCTGATAATGGTAAGGGCTGACAAAAAAGGGAAAAAAAAATCACCCTTGACATTTGACGAAAGGTCAGGTTTTGTGTCCATTTTACAGTCCGACAGCAGCGGGAATATAAGCATTATTATCATCATCAGGAATTCTGCCAACTCACTATTGTTTATTCCTCTTCACTGAGTGAGAAGAAAAGACGACAGATCACAGGGCTATTTACAGACATGTCTTATGACACTAGAACCTTGCTTTGTTTTTCTACAATAAATAAAGTCAGTGCAAACTCCAAAGTCATTTCATTATGTTTGCTCTAAAATGCAGCCATAACAAAGTATGCACATCTCATCAGTCTCTCTGCATGTGTTAAAGCATCTCTGACAGTTTCAAGTGAAAACACCCAGATTAATTTAGCTAAGCAGAGGGGTGTCCATTTACTGCTAAGGAACACATTGTTTTTACTTCATTTAATGACTCAACAGTCAAACTGGTGTCTTGGATCCAGCCCTAATAAATAGCTTGAAGCAACATCAATATACATAGTCCTGCTAAATTATAGCTGATGGCATGTATGGCAATTTTGATTAGCTAAACTCCTCTGGGAACTCAGCAGCACACAGCTTTCTTTAAGGAAATACAGCAGTGTGCGCTGCAGAAAGATTCACTGCCACATAATGTATCAATTTTATTGTTCAAGACAAGTGAATTATGGCCTATTATATGCAGTTTTATGTTGGCTAAGTCAGTTTTAAAGTAATTACCAGTTACCATGCAATATCCCCACATGTAATTTCGACAGTAGAGTAGAGAAGAGCAAATTTGTACTCAAGTAAGAGTACTGTTAAAGTAGGATAGCTTTTAGAATTGGGTATAGGCCTAGTAGCCTATTTGCTCAACATACTTCTCAAGTATAGCCTATTGGGTGAACACTGTAAACGTAACACCTGATTTATTTTTACATGTTTGTGTAAAAGATAAAAAATCATTCTGGTATGTGACTGATGTACAACTTGTACAAATAAAATACTTTTTGTTTTTCAACTTAATCTAAAAACATTAAGTAAGGCATTGGTGCAAGATATTACTTTTCACAAGTGAAACACACATATGTAGGAGCGCGTAGCCTAAATAGCACTTTTCCTTTACAATGTAATGTAATTTAAATTAGAAAATATGATATGCAATGTGCTAAAACACATGACCCAAAACGTGAAATTCCCATTTCAAATAGCTGACATAGTTATTCATGTCATCTGACTATTTTGTCACCCAACTCACCTGACTAGCTTTCAAAACTGCCTTTTCTCGGAGCGCTATTGGACAGGTGCAGAGACGCATTTGGCTCCTATTACCCCAGACGCCTGCCAGTCTCCAAAAGAGGCGGGACGAGCGCGCTGAATATAAGGAAATGTGTTTGTTTTAAGATTACATGGTTTAATTTCACCTGTAATAGCGTGACATTGGTTGGAGGGATTACCTGCTTTGAGACGATGGCGAGAGCTCTGTTTGCCCTCACGGTCTTTGTTTTAGTCAGTTTTATTACGGACGCTTTGGACAATGGTTTGGCACTGACTCCTACAATGGGCTGGCTGCACTGGGAGAGATTCATGTGCAATACCGACTGTAAAACCGACCCCGACAACTGCATCAGGTACGGCAACTTAGGAACTTTATCTATGATGGTAAACGCGCGCAATTACGCACACATTTCAGGTAGAGTTCATCATTTACTCAGCACAAACACTTTCAAAATTGAGACCATGTTTACCGGAAGTGTTTCTGTAGCCGGTAGAGGGCGGCCTTCTTCAAATGTGTAAAATCAAAGTAATATTTCAGCGCAAAATAATAATAATAATAATAATAATAATAATAATAATAATAATAATAATAATAATAATAATAATAATAAAAATTGATTTAGCAAAATAGCCTTGATGTGTGAAAGTGAATGACTGCAGCACATGATGGCACCACTTCTGATTGCATTTTTTAAAATTTGCTTTGAAGCACCCAGAGCCATGTGATAATCTTTATTTGCTGGGCACCATTCTCCAGCACTATTACACACAGAAGCTCAAGACAATGAAATAAACACATGAGACCAGACCTTACATTTTAATAAAAAGCAAGGCATAAAAATCCAAAATAAACATATAAAACACACTTTGAAATTGGCATCTTCAACCATGATCTTACTATTACAGAACTGGCTGTGATTTCTGTGTTTACCTGTTCCCTCGGCAGTGAGCGTCTGTACATGCAGATGGCAGATGTGATGGTGAAGGAGGGCTGGAAGGACGCTGGGTATGAGTATGTGTGCATAGATGACTGTTGGCCCTCCTACCAACGTGATGCTCAGGGCCGGCTGCAGGCGGACCCAGTCAGGTTCCCCAGTGGAATCAAGAAACTGGCCGACTATGTGAGTTACTATGACTAGCTTTAGATAATGTGCCCATCAAAAATACTCCATAAAGCTTAATTTACTGTATTTGTGACATGTTTCTTATAAAAACAGAATATGATTATGTTGTTTTCTTCTTCATTATTTGATAAGCTGTACAGTTATTTTGCATAATGTACAGTAATGTGTTTATGTTACTCAAAATCCCAAGAAAGCAATTACATTTTTGAGAAGTATGTGATGATGTCATACTCCCAGATGAAGGGACAAGCCTGAGTTTTTCTTATGTATTAAATTAAATGAAAATTCACATTTTACAAACCCTAGTTTTAGTTTGCTATATAAAAGCAAATGCATTTTAACAACATTCATTTTACCTCTCGACAACTGTATTAAATATTATTGGCTATATAAGTTGGGTCATCTGAAACCCAGCAATACATTATTGATCATTTGTATTGCACTGCCACCTGCTGGTTAAAAGGCAGGTAGTTCTGAGTCTCCTGATTTGATTTGTTCTTGTAGGTCCATTCTAAAGGCTTGAAGCTGGGCATCTACGCAGACCTTGGCTCTAAGACCTGTGGAGGTTACCCGGGCAGTCTGGGCCATCATGAGATCGATGCACAGACGTTTGCTGACTGGGATGTGGATCTGCTTAAGTATGATGGCTGTTATTTAGATTGGAAGCTGATAGGAGAGGGTAAGTTCTCGTCAATAACTTTTAGTGCATCTACAGTGGTATTTAGTTGGATAATTTTATACAATTCTATTTTCAGGTTACATGAACATGTCAAAGGCTCTTAACAAAACAGGAAAAATAATTCTTTACTCCTGTGAATGGCCCTTGTATGTATGGCCTTATGATAAGGTGAGATAGTTTTGTTTCTGTTTTGGTTGTGAACAATTCATTAAAATTCTCTTCTCCAGCCCGATTACGCAGCCATCCGTGAGACCTGTAATCACTGGCGCAACTATAATGATGTGTATGACTCATGGAGCAGTGTAAAGTCCATTTTGGATTGGAGCGCTCAACATCAAGACATCATCGTCCCCTCTGCTGGACCAGGAGGCTGGAATGACCCTGACATGGTGCTACTCTACACAAACAACTGATAAGCATGACAACATCATTCAATGAACTTCTGGAGATGTAACTATAGACTTCACTGTCATTCTATCTATACTTTTTTCTTTCAGCTGATAATTGGGAACTTTGGCCTAAGTCATGACCAGCAGGAGTCCCAGATGGCCTTATGGGCTATTATGGCAGCCCCTCTGATCATGTCCAATGACCTGAGAGATATTTGCCCACGGTCAAAAGCACTGCTACAGAACAAATACATCATAGCCATCAATCAGGACTCTTTGGGCAAACAAGGGTACCGGACTAGCAAGGTATGGTCCACAAAGGCTGTATTATTAATATTCACTTTACTGACTGATTAAACTAGTATTCCTATAAACTGAACATACACTATAATGAGAATATGTGTTTTAGGGAAGTGACTTTGAAGTATGGGAGAGGCCATTGTCTAAGAACAGATTGGCCATGGCAGTGATGAACCGTCAGGAGATTGGTGGTGCTCGTCGCTTCTTCCTTGCAGTAGCTCCGGGCTGGAAGTACTGTAATCCTAAATGTAATGTCACCTTGATCCTGCCCAAGTACCAGGAATTGGGGCCTGTGCCTCTCAAGAGTGACCTGATGTTGCCTGTGAACCCTTCCGGCACCATTCTGCTGACGCTCACTCCTCTCGCCTCACAGGACCACAAACTCCGCTGGAAAAGCACCTTGTAAATGAAAGTTATTTTTATATTGCACTTTAACAAGATTTCCATTATTAGTGCACTTTATAAGATTTTTGTTTGTTGCGAATTTCTTAATCTGACTGGTACCTTTTAATAAACTGGACAAATACATTTTTAAATTCAATTTTCAAGTTTAATTTCAAGATGCAGAGAGATCTAATGTACTGATGCACTAATATCCCAGTGAATGGGAGGCTTTAAAGGAGGAAACGTCAAGAAACAAAAATGTTAGGACATCATACACCCTTACCGGGTCAATAAGAACTCAACAACCAGAGTAGTCAGTGATTTTAACTCTGCATAGAGTTCATCTACAGGCCATGCATCATTCTCATGGATATAGGTATGAGAATCAACTAACATGAATGACTGCAAGGGGTTAAATATTTAAGAATTTTATGCTAGTTGTAATTATAGTGTGGCTGCACCAAATAAAGGGCTTTCCAATTATATGCCATTTCACAAAAAAAAAAAAATTCTAATAAGCACAGGTTTACAGATCTGTGGGAACTCAGCCAGCTATATAAAAATCCTTTATGTCCTTCCTAAAGTTGATACATTTTGTTATTGTCAAGGATCATCTTTGCCCGTTTAAAGCTAGTTGCCTTCGTACTTTACAAGTTGTAATACCCAAATGTTCACCTACCAGCTGGTCTTGGGACTCTCTAAAGCTTCGGTTAGGACTCTTGTTTCTAACATTACAATTAAGATGCTTTGACAAGTTATACTGGACAATTCAAGTCACCAAGGTCTTGTGATGCCTGTGCCTATTTAGTTAATAGAGATGCGCGGATGGCGGTTACAGCCGCAGACTCCGCGACTAAAAATATTTTAATTAAATTCAGGTGGGTGACGGTTTCACTACTCAAAAAACTCTGAACTAAGCGGATGGCGGGTGGGCGGGTTTTTGAAAACTGGTCAAAAACTGTGGTTGCAAATGTACAAAGGGCAGATGAGTTTTGCGATGCGGTTGCAGATGAAAAAGTAGCCCATCCGTGCACCTCTATTAAGGAAACACCCACACACAAGTTTTTTTTAATACATTTATTGAAAACTGTGACATTACTCCAAGAGACTGGTCCACAGTTTAAAACTGGATGACCTGGCCCTGAAAAGTAAAGAAAAGAATTGTTAAGAGAATTCTCAACCATAAACATTTACTATGACTGATGCAAATCCACACACCACTGATGGCAATGCATACTTGCTCCAACTGATGCAGTTTATTATGTACATAGAGAATTTTATGTCTTCAAAAAACCTATGTCAACTACAAATTTTTGTTCAACTTTCTGCACAATACATCTTACTCTTACACAACTTAACTGCACAATCACGGGCCCTCTGGCTCTAATCTAAGAATCACTCACTGAAAGCAAATTCAGATCTAATAAAACCAACACAAGAGCAAATATAGTTATTAGACAAAAATCTATAGCCTGTACAAATATATGTTCACTTAAGAGCTAAGCGTGGAACAGGCTGGGGGGAACAAGGAAAAAAAAAAAAAAATGACTTTACAAAAAAAGGTTTTCCAAATTATTTTGTTCACAGCCTACTCAGAATCATGATTAAGATGCAAATAATGATGCAATAACGATCTTCGCATTAAAGATGAAAAGTCCGTGATCAGTTTTAGCCAATAAATTTAGATGTTTATGGATGGAAAGAAACTGGGTAGAGTAAGTCTACATACCTTTCTCTTCTTGTCACCTCCCAACTCAAAGTGCTTGCATCTCTTGATGGCCAGCATTCTCTTTGATCTGCAGTTGGGCTCCACACACTCAAGCCTCAACACAATCTTCTTTGTTGTCTTAGCCTGCAGACAGCAACATGACAATTAAGCAACACATTAAATGCTTTTGAGAAACTAACCATCTTTTAAACATACCTTTTTCCTAAAAATAGGCTTTGTCTGGCCACCATACCCACTCTGCTTTCTGTCGTAACGCCTCTTACCTACAAATCAAGAATTTAAATGAGTTTAACCTGGAGTGAATACTGTGCACACATTTACCCCAGTTTACAGAACAGTTTTGTTTGACAATGCACTTTTACAAAAATACTGTACAAATCTCATCCACAAAGTTCAAAAAAAAAAAAAAAAAGACTTACATTCAACCTGACATTTTGGAAGTGTCACTATTTGAATCACTCAACAGCATGAGGTGGTGATCCATTTGGACTAGAACCACAAACTGAATCATTCCTTCTACCATCTGTCACTTTAACCAATTTAACTATGCTTAAAGATTACTCTGCACTCAACATACTGTTAATTTGTCCATACTGAGTTTTTTTGTCTGTTTTTTGGCACAAGCATGATCGGGACATTCCTGTTTGTTCATACTGGTCACCAACATAAGGCAATAAACCCAATTCTGAAAGAACTCACCCTGAGCATAGAGGGAATCCTTTCCCTTCTTGTACTGGGTTACTTTGTGGGGCTGGTGCTTCTTGCACTTCTTGCAGAAAGTTCTGCGAGTCTTCGGGACGTTCACCTGCGCACAACAATGATCAGAATTATAGCCAATAAAATAAATAGGCCCGCATCACATCACGAAAGCCGCCACTGCATAACGAGGACCAGAGCGCACTACTGTCATGCTAGTGAGCTTCGGCCTTCGACGCAAGGTTTTAAGCTGCTTTTCCACTAATACACAAGCACACAATGGCACTACAAAAATAAGTAGATTTGTTTGGCCTTTAAAATGTTCTCCGTTCATGGAAAAGTCAACTAAAGACGAACAAAACGTTCAATATAGGACTGGTTATTGAGAGCATAGCAGACACAAACAAACCGAGACAATATGGGGCATCCCAGCACCAAAACACACCGAATCACCACAATACCCAGAGATACATGTACATTACACATTTAACTACATGACTGTATGAGTGAGATATTGCAATAAACTCTAAATAACCCAGATTATTAGTGATTGTGTGAAACGATCATATCATACCATGGCTCCGACCCGGTGCTACGCGAAAGAGGAAGGAAGACCTGGAAGCGCTGTCTAATGTAGCCAAGAGAGCGCGTGTGCACTGCCCTCCAGCGGCAAGGCGACACAGGAGCGCTGTCAACTTGTAAAAACCTCTGCACAGTGAATGGGAATTAAATAATGCATGTGTGTATATCATTGTAATATATAACATAAACGTATGACTAAAAAATTAAATTAGCCTCAGAATTAAGTAGCATAAAATATGATTCCTGTGCTTCTACAATATATATGGAAAATATAACATACATCCCTCTAATATTCAAAGTTTAAAGTACATCTAATGTTAAAAGCAAAGGAATATGCAACAACAATTTGTTCTCTGCATGCTAATTACTGTAGATAGGCCTATGCACGATGGACATGGACATGAATAAAAAGGGGAAGTAAGTAAGTGGAGTCGATTCCTCTCTGTGGGTGTGTTTTAACTTCTTGCATCACATATTAACTCACATTTCATGAAAGGCATGCCATAAAGGCAGCTGGATTCAGTGACAACGCTTCTCAACACCTGCATCTGATGCTTGACACATTTGAGGCTCTGGGTAAGTGAGACTCATCACTGTTGTTATAAAGGTTTAACGTAGAGTATAGACTTGAACATATGTTGTGGGAAGTTAGTGTTTTAAGTTATTGCATACACTATTCCACTACTATTATTGAGCTGAATTATAACCGATGATCCTGTACAAATTATTATCTATATGAGATAGCCATTTATTTCAATAGGCCTATTATTTGTCACTGAAATTAGACCACAAATTACTGAAGAAGTTGTAAAAGTCAAGAGTAGCCAACTAGTTAGACTCTTAGAGGCAATGCACAGTTTTACCACAGACTTATCTGTCAGGAAATGTCGGGAAAGACATCATCATGACAGGTTCCTGTTCAACAAAGTCATTTTTTGAGATAAGCTTGTGTTTGCTGTGTCATATGGCTCATAGGAGATATAGGACTTCTTACTGTAAACTGCAAGGTAAAATAAAAAAATAGTAATAAAAATTACTTAGAATTTGATATAAAAAATTATAATAATGTAATATTCAGCCTTTTACTTACAGATACAGTTACCAAAAAACTGACTAAAACATTTGCATTTTGTCTGTTTAATAATACCACAGAAGTCTGTCCTTCCCTCCAGCTCAATTTTATAAGTCTCTAGGCCTACTCACCACATCTTTCTTTTGCAATTACTCATAGAAAAATTGATAAAAGAATTGCATTCAATTTTAGATTTCTATTCATTCATTCATTATTAAACATACATCAGCTATGAACCAGGCTAGATGTGACCCTGTTGCTTCACAGCTTAGCCCACATACTAGATGCTGACTGGGTAAAATACATGACAGTGTGAAAAAAAAGGGTTAACGTGTGATTGTGACAGCACATCAACACGGCACTGCACTATACACTAGCAAACATTACAAGAATACATTTGTTTGGTGAGATATGGTGTACCACTCCACTCTACATTCTCCATTGCAGTACAACATTGCATCAACTTCCCCATGGGTTTCTCTGTGTCAGCCAGTTAGAAACATAAAAAACCTGTCCGAAAAACCTCCAGTGATCATTTCATTTCAAAATAAAGTGTACAGTTTGGGCACTATTTTAAAGAGGTGGAACCTGGACTGACTGAAAAGGATATAGCCCCTTTTGGGTAAAACATCATTTGAAAGAAGCCACTGAATTCTGCCAAAGTAATATGGTGAAGACATGACAGTTTTATGTAAAAGGCATTCTGGGCACTAGGTTAGCAGAGTACATCAACAGTGCTAGCTCACTTGTTATAAGGAAGTACTGAAAATAGGCTGTGCTGAATTCTGACACACACTATTAAGCTGTGAGACAAGGGTGACAATGTTTTGATGCAATAGACACACTAAATGCACTATGTAACATTTCTGGTGGGGGTCTGCTACCTGCATACCTGATTTTTTGACACTATGGCTTTAAACTGATACATCTTTTCTATTCTAATACCTTTTTTTGTCAAATGCTGCTTGAAAAACATGCATGCCTACTGTGAGTGGGCTTACCTCTCCACAGATCTGACCTGTAAATTGGCCTGCCATTACCTGCTTGTCTCAGTGGAGATGGATTAAAGCCGTGCTGTGGGACATTCCAGGAAAAGCAATACCATATTCAAGACTGTACATACTGCTTCTTGAGACAATATAGATGTTAAGACTATCAGAATTTTATTGTAGTTATAGGTACTTCCCCTGTTTATTTTTATCACAGTACTTTAAAATCTTTTAAGCTGTTCTTACGAAAACCTGTGAGACAAAATAAAGAGAAGACGTAGTTATTGTTACCATATTTAAGTCTGAGAGAACTTCTTAAGAAGAAGAAGAAGACCTAAATATAATACAAGGAATATATTTTGATAACATGAAACATTTGAACTATCCCAGTAAAGTTATGTTTTAGAGATGGAAAAAAAACAAAATAAATGTGCTGATACTCTAAAACAATATAGTAGTTTAGTTGAAGATGCATTGAACAAAACCAGAAAAAGCAAAAAACAAACAAAACAAAAACATAGGTTAACTACAGGCTACAATACACATTTAAATTTCTTTACTTGAAGAAAGACATATTCTATTTATTATCAGCATATGTACTATAGGTGGGAGATAAATTGCAAAAAAAAAAAAGATATCGAAATTGCTGTTTTGGAGATATGCAAAATTAGAATAATGAATATAGTGTGTATAAAGTGTAATAAAAAGACTGCAAACAGAGAAGAGCTGGCTAAAAATAAAAAATAAAAGCAAAAAAAAAACAAAAACATGTAAGATAATTTTGTGGTTTGTGGTTTTTTCGTTAGTATATTTATCTTTCTAATCAATTCGTTATATAGCAGTGTCAGTAAGCTGGTCATAGAAATTCCTTGTTAAGTTTCCCGTTAGAGGTGGCCTCATTTGGTTTGACCAGGATGCTTGCTAAAGGAAACAGATGGGGATACTACTGGTATGTAAAGCAGCGCTCATGCAAACGAGTCCTAGTCAAAAACAGCTACAGTATGTGTCCTCTCTTATGCTGCTTGTGTATCTTTGTATCTGATCTGATATGAGCACGAGTATGTGCAAAAGACAAGTTGACAGGTTATATAATTACTTAGTTTAGTGGATTTACATAGTACCTGATAAATATCTGTCATAGTTTTACATCAGTTAATTTCAAGAAAAGTACAAAAATACAGGAAGTAGCAGTGAGTTCAATGGAATCCCTCTACCTGTGTCATCGCCCGTCATCAGTTCCATCCAGAATGCAATAATTTAAACATTGATTCAACAAAATAAACATGTTTTAATTGTTAATTTATTTTATATTTTACATATGGAGGGAAGTAAAATTCTAAACTTCACCAAAATGACTAGATGGGATTTTTTAGTAAGATCTTAAATATAATTGTGGTAACTATGCTTAAGCGAAAAGTGTGGTGAAACCTGTCATATGCACTTTATCTGTTGAAAGGTGTGAATGCAGTCTATGGGTCACCACACTGCTGGTTTTTAACCCTTGTTTTTTTTTTTATTATTTTTTTTTTTTTATGTGCTGTAGATAAATCATGTCGGACAATATACTTGAGGAACTCTTCATAAAAAGGTCTCAGCAGAAGAAAAAGACCTCCCCTTTAAACTACAAGGAGCGCTGGTTCATTCTTACCCAAGAGAGAATAGCCTACTACGACTATGATGCTGAGAAAATGGTGCGTCAAAGAATATAGGGTTAATTCAAATAGAAAAGAGTTGTTACGTTATAGTAAAATTTTAATTAGGCTTACATAAGACTTGATTCATTTATGGTTTGTGAAGAATGATTCAGGCTTAGTGTCTGCTAAACATTTCTTAGGCTTTGTTAAGGATATCTAGGTGTAGTTATTATAGAGTATTAATATTTAACAGTTTCCTTGTCCACTAAGCAGAAACGAAAAGGATATAAGGGATCTGTGGATATTGAGAAGATAAAATGTGTGGAGATTGTCCAACCAGAGCCCGGAGCACCATCAGAACGCAGCTTTCCATTCCAGGTATAGCTAACAAATGATTCTTTCTTAATATATTTTACGAGTATCATACAGTGTAGACAATACTGGTGAATACTGTGAAAGTGCAGTGAAAGAACTGAAACCGTCAGATTCACCAGGGGCTTTTGGAAGAAGCAGGTGTCATAACAGTGATATTTTTCTACACAGATCATTTATGATGAGGGGCCATTGTATATTTTTGCCAGAAGTGAAGAAGTTCGTGCTCAGTGGATTCAAAAGTTGAAACAGAGTAAGTATGCCTGCACATTTACATTTTTCAATGGTGCGACTTTGATAACAAATTGTCTGGTAGCGGTACTAAAACCTTCCCATGCAAATGCCTGTGTTGATTCAATGTAAATGTGTGCAGTGGTGTGCTACAATAAAGATCTGGTGCAGAAGTACCATCCATGTTTTTGGGTGGATGGGCTGTGGCTGTGTTGTCAACAGGAAGTTAAACAGGCCATGGGTTGTAAAGTCTTGACTGGCAAAAATGGTAAGAAACAATTTTACAGAAAAAGATTGTTTAAAGGGGCACTGTGTTAACTTTTTGGTGGGGCCTCCATGGAGAATTTATTGTTATTGCTTTGCTGAGAATATTCTACAGCACTGAACTTTCTCTTATCACATTGGAGACAAGTAATGCCAAGTTACAGGCCAGATCTGTGAAGAGGCAAGTCTGCTCACAGTATGTTTCTCAAGTATAAACACATTTACACAACATTGTGAGCTTTAAGCCATACTATAATATTGTTACCTCCTAAAAAACACACCTACACACACGAGCTGCGTGTTGTTGTTTTTTTTTTTCATTCATACATGTTTTAGTAAACTTTTGTTATTAGTCTGTGTACATCTCCAGATGTTGGCTCAGAATACTCTTTTCCACCTTGTGATGTCACAAAGTGGTAGTTTTCAGGTTAATAGCTACCTTTTACCTTTAATTCAGTAAATTCCAGGCCTGAAATAATCAAAATGATTCTAGTATGGAGTTTAAAAAAACACTTCTTGTGTTACCACATGACATCACAAGGTGGAACAGAATGTTTTATGTTTAAGAGAAGAACACAGCCTAAATATGCAGGGTTTGTGTGTTAAACCTGTGTGAATGAAGGAACATACACATCTAGGTATGTTTTTGATGAAGAAACTCTATTCTAACATTAATCAGAAAATAGCATAATATGGGCCCTTTACATAAATGGTAGAAAGATCAATTTAATGCAGTACTGTGGAACATTCTGGGCTAAGTATTAACATCCATGGAGACAAGAAAAGTTACATTTACCATTAGAATTATGTGTAAAAATGTGCTGACATGTCATATATTGTGATAATAGGTTTCCCATCTCAACGAAGAAAGTCTCGAGCCAGGGAAAAGCCTCTTCCTCCTACACCCACAGAGGTAAACAAACGCACAACATTCATATACATTTTTAATCTGTTATTCTAATCCTTTAACAATATTTTAAGGAAAACCGTCGACCATTACCCCCCGAGCCCCCAGAGCCCTCGGGCCCTTCTGTGGGAATGACAGTGAGAGCAGAGTATGACTACGCCCCAGTATCGGCACAGGACCTGGAGCTAAAGAAGGATGGGGAGTACATTATTCTGGAGATGTCTGATGCCAACTGGTGGAGGGCCAAGGACCAGTTTGGGTGAGATCATAACATCCATAAAAATGTGTTTACAAGTAATACACATTTCAGATAGATTTGAATGACATGAGGGTGTTTTATTTAAATGGAAATATATTTGGCTTCTTCAAAATGAACTGAAGTCAGATGTTATTTTTAGCCACACCAATGACACACACTTTCAGACATATGCCAATCATAGCATTAAGCAAGCAATGAATCAGCTGGCATATGAGATGTTCTGCCAGTTTTTGCCGTTTTAAATATTTACATTATTCAAAAAGGCTGAATACACAACTTTATATGCAATTAGAAGATGGACGATACTGACAAAAATATTATCTTGACTAGTTTTTTGAAGTGCCCCAATAACAATTGTTATACCAAAGACAAATATGTCAATCCTACAAAAATAAGCTAAAATATGTCTTTAAATGTATTAGCTGATGTTTATAAGTATACAGAAATATCCCCAACTTTTTAAACATTTTTACATTTTAAAATTTTGAACAGCAATCTTAATTTTGCATATATTATCTTAAAAACAAAACCCACAATTTTATCAGTGTTTAGATATATTTAAATCTCTGCATACTTAATATTTATATTACAGTAAAACATGAATTCTTGTCACATTCACATAAATTAAACTTCACAGATTTTTGTAACTTAAGTCTATTTTGCAGAAATGAAGGATATATACCTAGTAACTATGTGGTGGAGGCAAAAACTGGGTTAGAGCGATTTGAGTGAGTATCACACTAGGGTAAATGTAATTTGTAGAACTTTTAACATACTGACGTTTGGTTCACTTTTGCAGCTGGTATTGTAAGAATATGAACCGTAGCAAAGCAGAAGCACTATTAAAGTCTGAGGTAAATAAAATACATATAATAAAATACATAAAATCCATACAAAGATAAGTGAATGAAGATAATATCATTGTTTTATTTTTTAAATGGTTTGTGGTATTTCGTTGTAGAACAAAGACGGTGGCTTCTTGGTACGAGACTCAAGCAAGGCTGGGAAGTACACTGTGTCTTTATTCAGCAAGGGCGGCGGGTGAGAAAACTGTTTTTACTATGCACATTCTTATGAACTTATCAAAAGAAGAACTGATAGAAATGAAAGTGGGAACAGTGCACCACAGTGGGAAAGACATGTAAATGACACTATGCAAAGCAGGATCATAAAGTGAAGCTGTACAGTGGAAAATATATTTCAGACTATAATCATGAATTTATTTGTTTGACAACAGGGAAACCACTGGAAGCTGCAGGCATTATAACATATGCACCACGCCACAGGGCCAGTATTACCTGGCAGAGAAGCACAATTTTAGCACTATCCCGGAACTCATCAACTACCATCAACACAATGCAGCAGGTCTGTATATAAAACCATAAAGTACTGCATAATAGAAATAAAGAGATACCATCAAGTAACATAACTAGCTAGTGGATTCCATGCAAATAAACTATATGCAAATGTATAACTAATCCCCTTCGTTAATGGAGCTTAACAGAAGTCAATTTTCCCTTTTCAAAAAAAAAAAACAACAACAAAAAACTCTAATATCAAGAGTTTAAAGAAACAACAGCCCATTGTACGGTTGTTTTCAATTAAAAAAAAAACTAATCATGTTTAACCTGGTCTTGTGATCAGTATTTACGCCTTTCAAACTTGTCTATGTGAACAAGATCATTATAAATATACTTCTGGAAACTTGTACTGTATTCACTGTTGAACCCCATAAACCATTGCCAGTCAAGAGGGGCACTTCAGACAAAGATGACAGTAAATAATATAAGAAAAGTAAGTTGTTGTGCATAAAAGTGATGATCTCTGTTTGCAGTTGATTAATATTTGTGATAGAAATGAAATGTATTGATGACATGTTTTAAAGTAACTATCAATGTTATTGTTACTGTCTGGAAACTGTGGCAGATAAGATAAGATTACTCTTCTTTCTGCTCCTTTTCATTCATTTCTTGTATGTTTAATGTTATGAATGTCTTTTTATACTTAACTATACTTATGACTGATAAGAAATTTAAAAAATAAATAAATATGCATGCTTAGTATTGCATATATAGCCATATCTCTTTTTGAGGATAACATATTGATTTTAATACAATGATCCATTATATGTTTATAGGTATGGTAAGCAGACTCAAATACATTGTTTCCAACCGGGCACAACCACCTTCGACAGCAGGACTTGGCTATGGTATGAATATAATTGTCCTCTTTAAAAACAAGATTGCAAGAAAACAGATTAAGCAAAGTCAGTGAGGGGAAAAAGCAAGTATAATAATTCATCTTTTACCTATTTTCTAGGCATGTGGGAGATTGACCCGCGTTACCTGACCTTCATAAAAGAGCTGGGCAATGGTCAGTTTGGGGTAGTGAAATATGGCAAACTGCGAGGCCAGCACGACGTGGCTATAAAAATGATTAAAGAAGGCTCTATGTCTGAAGACGATTTTATTGAAGAAGCCAAAATAATGATGTACGACCTTTGGTGGAAAAATTTACTTGAAGTTGTTTTTGTGACTAGCTGGAAATACTGAACTTCCTTCTGCTTTCTGTGGGTCAAACTAGGAAGCTACGTCATGAAAACCTGGTGCAGTTGTATGGTGTGTGCACCAAACAAAGGCCCATTTACATTGTTACCGAGTATCTCTCCAATGGCTGCCTGCTGACTTACTTAAAGGAAGGTTTGACGCAACATCCAACCATGGTTCAACTTTTGGAGATGTGCAAGGATGTGACTGAGGGGATGGCCTATCTGGAATCCAAACAGTACATTCACAGGGATCTGGTGAGATTAGATAAGATATTTGACAAAATATAGTGAATGATTAAACCAAAGTCAAAAATGTTTGTCTGGTCCCAAGGCTGCCAGGAACTGCTTGGTGGATAGCAATGGCACTGTTAAAGTGACGGACTTTGGACTGTCAAGGTATATGATTTATTTTTAAATCCATTGAGCATTTGCAGAATCCAATTGTAATCCAATTTGGTTTACCTGATTTGTCCATAGGTATGTCTTAGATGACGAGTACACAAGTTCAGCAGGCTCAAAGTTCCCAGTTCGCTGGTCTCCCCCTGAAGTGCTCCTCTACTGCAGGTTCAGCAGCAAATCCGACATCTGGGCATATGGTAAAATTCATTTATACATGTTTCAGAGTAAAGAAAATCTAGCACAATTCAGATCACAAAATACAATATTATTATATAGCTATTTTATGGATAGGCAAAAGTCTTTAAAGTGTTGAAAGTGCCTATTAAGACGTAGCTAAAATCCATGAAAACGTAGAAACAAAATCAGGATGCTCTTTTATCTTCAGGAACATGTTTTTTTTTATATACAAGCAAAAAGAAGGCATAGCCACTACCCTGCTTATTCTAGTGCACTTATCATCGTGAGTATTAGTTGAAACAGCATCAATAACTTCCACTACTAAATACTTACAGGGGTGTTAATGTGGGAGGTGTACACCTTAGGAAGACTTCCATATGAACGCCTCAATAACACTGAAATAGTTGATCAAGTATCCCGTGGTCTGCGTCTCTACCGCCCCCAGCTGGCCAATGAAAAAATCTACAGCATTATGACTATCTGCTGGCAGGAGGTATTTTACAAACCTATTTTACAATGGCAAGGCTGCATTATCCGTAACGTGATGGCAATTGATGTATTTGTGTTTTCAGAAAGCAGATGAAAGACCCACATTTCAAGAACTGTCTGTAACTGTCCAGGACTTGCTGTATGAGCTTCAGTAGCAGTTTTGGTGTGATCATTTCAGCCTAGGCCTATGTTTTTCTTTCATGAAAACAAAGCAAATTGAATATGTTTTTTTTTTTTTTTGTGTGTGTGTGTGTGTTTTTATGTGAATATAATGTGAATATTTAAAGGCTAACTATATACGATTAATATTAAATGTTTCAACTTTGATTTAGAAGGTGGGAATAAATATTTAAAATCCAGTGTCTGTGGTGATTTTTTTAAGGACTGCACATAGCAAATATCAAAGCACAAAAATACGAAACAGGTATTAAGTTCAAAAGATAAAATGGTGTAAACGAAATTAATCACATTTAAATAAATTATATGATATGGTAATCACATTGGATCTCATTCTGATTGGATCCAAGCTTGTTACGTATCATCTTACGCAGCCTACATCAAACTCTATGATTGGCTGAATCGTTTCCTGTTTCCTTCACTGACGAGGTACAAGCTACACGTGAAGGTCAGTTTCTAAGAAAAGAACACCCATATTGCAAATGTACCAAGGTTTACATCAACATGAACGGCCAAGGAGCAACAGCAGACCCACAGCTTCAACAGTTCATCGAGATCGAGTCTCAAAAAAAGCGCTTTCAGCAGCTCGTACATCAGATGACTGAGGTTTGCTGGGTAGGTGAAGCTCTTAGCTAGCTGTACATGCAGTACACAGACATGGAGTGAAATAAAGTAATATGGATCATCTGCATCTGCAATCATGATCTATTCTTTCTATTCTAAAGATTATTAAAAGACAAATGAGACCATAGCGGGAAGTCATGTTAATCTGAGCAAAAGTAATTCTGTTCATTATTATGTAGAATTAACAGGATCAGGTGTAATGTGTGGAAATCATTGTAGGACTGTGCTTGTTACTTAAGTTATTTTATATTTATATATATATATATATATTCATATATATATATATATATTCATTTAACATTTCAAAATGCGTTTTTTCTCTGTTTTCCCTAGGAAAAGTGCGTAGACAAACCTGGTCCAAAGCTGGATTCGAGGACTGAGATCTGCCTTGTTAACTGTGTCGAGAGGTTTATTGACACCAGCCAGTTTATTTTGAATAGACTGGAACAGACTCAGAGGAGCAGGGGCTCTTTCTCAGAGACAATGGCAGAATGAGACTGTTACTTGGACTTGAGAGGACACATCCTGGTCCAACCAGTGGGTCCTGATTCTGAACACTTCATTTACAAGATCTAACTCAAAGTATTTACTATGCAAGTGCCTGAGAACGAGTGTTGGTCTGGCAAGCCCTGCTGTGACGTCAGATAGATCAGTGTGGCTCGTAATTTAGAATTATACTGAAATAGACGAATGGCAGTTATGTAACTTTCTTGTTGTTTATTTTTACAGCTTGACACCAAGCATAATATTGTAAACTATACATGTTTCATCAACCATCGTAGGGTCTATACATTTGCAAACTGCTTTTATTACGTGCTAAACCATAAGCATCAAATCTCTGGAAATCATGTTTTTATTAACATCTTCTTGACTGTACATTCTTTGGCAAATAACAATGAGGTAACTTCACTCACGCAAGAAAACATTCATACACTGTATAGAACTGTGCCATAGTCTGTCAAGTTTGTACTTCTGTAATAAGTTTGTAAAAATAATGAAAAACATGTTTTTCATCAGTTAAATTTAAAAACCCTAAAAAACCTTTTGAATCAGAAGCTATTGTTTTACATTTGTTTGCTTCTTCCATTCTCCATTTGCGTTCATGTCTCTGGGTTGTTTGGGCTCTTCATCTGCCTGCATGTTGTGGCTGGGAACAGCAGTGTATGACTGTTGTCCATATGAAAACCCCTGGGGGTTCTTTTTAAGGAAGAGAGGCAGGGAATCCCACGTAAAAGTGATGTCCTTAAAAGCATGCAGCAGGAAAATGCCTAATATAATGGTGAGGAAGCCACTGATAGTCCCCAGTGCCCCATCTGTGGTCATTTTCAACCATTCTTTGAAGAGGATAGCAGAGCAGGCCATGACCGAGGTTGTGAAGAAAACATAGTAAATTGGTGTAACGATAGAAGTGTTAAAAATGTCAAGGGCCTTGTTCAAATAACTGATTTGAATAGTTACACATATCACCAAACAGATAATTAACACCCAAAACAATGGCTGTTTTAGTACTGCTATTCCAGCAAACAGTTCCTTGATGCCGAGGCCCAGACCTTTTACGCAAGACACAGACAGCGAGCCAATCACAGAGCAGATGAGGATGTAGACCAACACATTCTTCTGTCCATAACGTGGAGCCACCGCAAACATGAGGACCAGACTGCTTCCCACAACGCTCACAGCATACACAATGAATCCTATTAAAGAATTTAAGCCAACTATTTTATAAAAAGGACTCGTGACACTGTATAGTCACACAATATATTTGCTTTACCTGGGTCTTTGAGCTTCTCAGCCATGGCACTGAGGGAAGAAACCTCCTCTTCCTGCGGTGCATGAATGACCATTACCGTGGAGCCTATGATGCAAAGTAAGCAGCCAATCTTCCCATGCACATTGAGCCTCTCATTGAGAAAATAAGACGAGAGCACCGCACTGGAGGAAGGCAAACCAAGGTTTAATACTAATGAAAAGATTAACCTGAAAATAATACATTTAAATGTGCCTGTATTTAGAAGTATTTCTCACCTCACAAGTACACTCAGTGCTCCCAGAGGAGTAACCAAAGTTGCAGGTGCAAATGCATATGCAGCAAAATTAGCAGCTTCTCCAGCTCCCACTATAACAGAACATAAAAGTCTGTTCAAACAACATGAGTGGTTTTATGGTTAAATATTTGGTTGGTTGTGACTTTAAAGGTGGACCTTTTCTGGGGTTGATCACCTGCTTGTTTCCATGGTCATAGCTTTACTTAGAATGTTCCACTACAACGCATTAAACAAATGAGCATTTTCCATTATAGATATTTTAATTGCCCCAAAAATACATTTAAGAGACGCATTTTTCTTATTGTGAGAGGGACTGCCACTCCACAGTCCTGACCTGTAACTTGGCATTTTGCCATCACCGGATGATCTGTATAGGCCTAATAACATACTGCTGAACATCCCTATCCCCATCGAGATGAGCAGAAAGGTTAAGGCACCTTTAAATACTGACCATATAGAAAGAATAAAGCACTTACTTGAAATGAGCCCAGCCCACCAAAGCCATTCCTTCAGATAAGCATATCCTCCTTGACCTATTATATACACAATATGGTTACTGTTTTGAAGTATATGTATCAGCACAGTCTATGTGCTCTTTGCATAGATCTATGTTAGGGTGACCAGACTTTCAAAATCAAAAACACCCCTGGTTTGGGGTGATTGGTAATAACAAAACTGTGAAATGAGTGCGTAATTTAGGAAAATGGTTCTGCATTTTTAAGCATCTTTTCTATATTTTACTAAACAAATGACAATGTATGCTTCTCTTTTCTGTTGGCAGGTATCAGATTGGTCAAAAATAGGGACACCTGGGACATTTCTTGTATAAAACTAGGACATATCAATGGTTTTAGATAAATCTGCTGGGACAAGGGACACCCTAATATATGTGCTCTTTGCAGGGATCTGTGTGCTCTTTGGTGTACCTGCTCGCGTTGATCCTTTGCTGGCCAATCGCAGAAGTCCTTTCTTTTTCAGTATGAAACTTGCGCCGATGAAAATACTCGAGCTTACAGCCAACGAAAGTCCGATGTAGAACTCTTTACGATACACCTCCATCTGGAAAACAAAGATAAAAGTTTTACTGGCTACAAAAATATTGAAAATCAAGAAGTAAATCGCTGTTTTTCAAATTTACCCAAAAATTTAGCAAACGTTATATGATGTTATTTATTCAGGACTGATTAGAAAGCCGTTCCGTGACAAATGAGATAAAAAAGCAGCATGTGGGAAGATGAAACGTGAAAGTATTCTGTAAAATAAACAGTTTTACCTCAGTTATCACGTCGATCCCATTCGCAGAAGTTTGTTTGGTAAGATCATGAGACTAGCAGGTGATTGGCTGCAGTGACACTGGTGCCGATACTTCCTGTGTTAAAACATTATGCGTGGAAAGAAATATCCTTGTTCGTCAACATGTTTAACAGTTAAACTATTTCTATATATATATAAAAAAAAAAAAAAAAAAAAAAAAAAATATATATATATATATATATATATATATATATATATATATATATATATATATATATATATATATATATATATATATATATATATATATTACAAACAATGTGAAGTAAAAAAAAAAAAAAAAAAAAAAGAAATGCAGAAGTTTGTGAAAGTACTTCTTGTTTGCGTTCTCCGACGCGAGTTCTGGTTGGATGTCAGTAATGACGAAAGCGGAAACAGTCCTTTTTCCTACTCCAAAACAAAACGTGATATATCAGAGGGCAGTCTAAATGATAATTTCTCCTCGATTAACACATTAGTACGGATCAGTTGGATGCTGATCGCTTACTCACTCCGTAATCATTATTTCTACGGATATCACTGGAAAATATACGTTCTATTGCACTAAATTTATTCTAAAATGAAGATTTCCTGTTTGCCACTTGTAAGAGCTTTCAGGTCATTACAGAAAATACAGCAAAGCCACTGTTCGCTGAGAAAGAATCAGTTGCGTTTTAGCTCCAACGTTAATCAAAGTGTGTCTAACAAGTCACATGTACTTGTCCAGTCCAATGAAGTACAACATTGCAATAATATACTGAATTAAATGTCATTTACCAAGTGAAGTAAAACCCACAGGGTCACAAAGTAAAAACTGGCATGAATATTTAATGAGAAATACACAAAACTGAAAAAAAATTGTACAAATTGAAATAAAATAAAAATGCATTATTCTTATAATTTCTAGATTTTTTTTTTTTTTTTTTTTTACATAGGTTCTCCAAATATTAGCCTTTATCCATTGAATTCACAGCTGGATGAATCCTTCCAAAGAAATTCAGAATCATAAACTTGCTGATGCCACAACAGTACTGTTTGATCCATTTAACACCATCTCCTTTCATCCACAGTTATTGGCATGTTCACTACAATCTGCAATTTAATATGCATGATAAGAGTTGTTGCTCTGCCCAGGTTGTGAATCTGTAGAAAAAGTGTATACATATTAATATATGCTTATATTCAAAACATCAGCTGTACTTATTCAGAATATGTGGAAAAGAGGATACTTACTAGAAAGCTGCTGTTGTAACTGCCTGACCAAGGCTGCTGTCTGTTGCTGCTGTTGAGTCCGTTGCATTCCTTGTCTCTGAAACTTAAGAAGCATACAATGTTTTTTATTTTATATTTAAAAAGTCATATTCTACAGCACTAATTATTCAGTCTAATCCAATTACTGAAACAACAAAGTCCTAACATTTACAACATTTATATTTACATACATTACTTCAATATAATGCTGCACATGAACAAAAACTACCATACAATATGGTATAAGGAACATACCTGTACCAAGGGCTGCATGCCCAGGCCCTGGTTCTGTGCCTGACCAGGAGGAGGCACAGCAGACACCTGCTGTTGCTGTGGGACCTGCTGCTGGGGAGCAACCTGTTGAGGCTGCACCTGCTGCTGTTGCTGTTGCTGCTGTTGTTGTTGCTGTTGTTGTTGCTGTTGTTGTTGCTGTTGTTGTTGCTGTTGCTGCTGCTGTTGCTGCTGCTGCTGCACTTGCTGAACCTGCTGCTGTGTATCGAGAGGAGCACAGTGAGTATGGCTGCAGTCTCTTCAAGTATTTCGTCTTTATTTCATCAAAGCCACACTTACTCTTACTAGTGCTTGCTGTCTGAGGTACTGCTGCTGCTGTGCAGCTGCTGCTTGTTGCTGTTGCTGCTGCTGCTGTTGTTGTTCTGCAAGCATCTGATTAGATGGCCTAATGTTGGGATGGACTCCCTGGCCTCCCATGTGACCAAGGCCATGCATAGGATTCTGCTGCATTGGTTGATGACTAAACCTAAACCAACACAAAAATTTACTTTAGGCATTTATGGAAACCTATAAAAATAAGGCTTTCAGAACACACACAAGATTATCTTGCTGCATGTTTATAATAAATATACACTGACCTCTGGATGTTATGGGTATAGTTGGGTGCCTGTTGGTGCACATAACCACTGGGCCTTGGCTGCATTTGCCGAAGGGGATCTACCATAGGTGGGTTGGCTCCAGGATGACTTCCCTGGAAGTTCTGGTTTCCATAAGAAGTAGGGACCATCCCACTGCCTTGAGGAGGATGCTGCTGCATCCCCATGTGTGTTCCATATGAGGTATAGCCCTGGGATATGTTCTGAAAACAGACAGACAGATTTTTCAGTAACACTATATAAGGGGTATTATTGAAGAATTTAAAAAAAAAAATATATATATATATATATAGAATTACATTTCTTACCTGATTTGCTTGCATTGAACTATATTGTTGGCTAGGGTTCATTTGCCTCATCGGACCCATCACATTGTGATTCTACAGTTATACAAAAGCCAGAATTAGAATAGCAAATTCAAAATGAAGTGAGGTTCAGACTGATGTGACTTAGTAATTTTTATAGAAATTAGCATCTGCAAATATACACTAAACCCTGGATTGAAAGTAAAAAGAACTAGAAAGTAATCAGATCCATAATAACAAATATATAGTCATGAATTTATTCATAAACATAGAAAAAAAGTCTATGTGCTCTTTGCATAGATCTATGTTAGGGTGACCAGACTTTCAAAATCAAAAACACCCTTGGTTTGGGGTGATTGGTAATAACTAAATTGTGAAATGAGTGCGTAATTTAGGAAAATGGTTCTGCATTTTTAAGCATCTTTTCTATATTTTACTAAACAAATGACAATGTATGCTTCTCTTTTCTGTTGGCAGGTATCAGATTGGTCAAAAATAGGGACACCTGGGACATTTCTTGTATAAAACTAGGACATATCAATGGTTTTAGATAAATCTGCTGGGACAAGGGACACAGGGCTCAAAACTGTCCCAGTCTGGTCACCCTAATATATGTGCTCTTTGCAGGGATCTGTGTGCTCTTTGGTGTACCTGCTCGCGTTGATCCTTTGCTGGCCAATCGCAGAAGTCCTTTCTTTTTCAGTATGAAACTTGCGCCGATGAAAATACTCGAGCTTACAGCCAACGAAAGTCCGATGTAGAACTCTTTACGATACACCTCCACCTGGAAAACAAAGATAAAAGTTTTACTGGCTACAAAAATATTGAAAATCAATAAGTAAATCGCTGTTTTTCAAATTTACCCAAAAATTTAGCAAACGTTATATGATGTTATTTATTCAGGACTGATTAGAAAGCCGTTCCGTGACAAATGAGATAAAAAAGCAGCATGTGGGAAGATGAAACGTGAAAGTATTCTGTAAAATAAACAGTTTTACCTCAGTTATCACGTCGATCCCATTCGCAGAAGTTTGTTTGGTAAGATCATGAGACTAGCAGGTGATTGGCTGCAGTGACACTGGTGCCGATACTTCCTGTGTTAAAACATTATGCGTGGAAAGAAATATCCTTGTTCGTCAACATGTTTAACAGTTGAACTATTTCTATATATATATATTAAAAAATATATATATATACATACATTACAAACAATGTGAAGTAAAAAAAAAATTAAAAAAAGCAATGCAGAAGTTTGTGAAAGTACTTCTTGTTTGCGTTCTCCGACGCGAGTTCTGGTTGGATGTCAGTAATGACGAAAGCGGAAACAGTCCTTTTTCCTACTCCAAAACAAAACGTGATATATCAGAGGGCAGTCTAAATGATAATTTCTCCTCGATTAACACATTAGTACGGATGAGTTGGATGCTGATCGCTTACTCACTCTCCGTAATCATTATTTCTACGGATATCACTGGAAAATATACGTTCTATTGCACTAAATTTATTCTAAAATGAAGATTTCCTGTTTGCCACTTGTAAGAGCTTTCAGGTCATTACAGAAAATACAGCAAAGCCACTGTTCGCTGAGAAAGAATCAGTTGCGTTTTAGCTCCAACGTTAATCAAGATGAAAAATGTTTCTACATCACTACGCCCATCTTCTATGTAAATGCTTCACCACATATTGGACACTTGTACTCAGCTGTTCTTGCAGATTGTCTAAGCAGATACAAACAATTGAGGGGATTTAGAACTAAATTTTCTACAGGTAAGAATGTCCCTTACATGCCACGACACTATTGTCCATTTTGTCATTCATAACACTTTTTTTTAATTGTAGGTACTGATGAACATGGCTTGAAAATCCAACAAGCTGCTGAGACTGCTGGAGAAGACCCTCATGTATTCTGCACCAATGTGTCGGAGAAGTTCAAACATCTTTTCAATTCCTACAGCATATCGTACACGGACTATATAAGAACCACGGAGGAAAGACACCGCGTGGCTGTGGAGCATATCTGGTCAGTGCTGAGGGACAAAGGACTCATTTACAAAGGCAGCTATGAAGGCTGGTACTCCACGCAAGATGAGAGCTTTCTCACAGCATCCCAGGTTGGAAATGCCATAGAGACATCAGGAAAAAATGTTAAGGTTTCCCTGGAGAGTGGCCATAGGGTAAGTTGTGTGATGATTTGAACAAAATAACTCATAATCGTGCATTAAAAATCTCAAATATGTGACCAACTTGGCAGGTGGAGTGGATGAAAGAGGAGAACTACATGTTTCGTCTTTCTACATTCAGACATCAGCTTTTGGACTGGTTGAAAGCAAATCCTAACGCCGTACAGCCTGAACGCTTTTATAAAGATGTTGTCCAGTGGCTCCAAGAGGATCTCCTTGACCTGTCAGTATCTCGTCAGAAAAGCCGCCTTCAGTGGGGTATCCCTGTGCCTGGTGACCCTAACCAAACTATCTATGTGTGGCTTGATGCTTTGGTGAACTATCTAACTGTTGCAGGATACCCTGGAAATTACCAGCAGTGG